GCTGGGATTACAGGTGTGAGCCACTGCACCCAGCCGATATTTATATTTTAAAAGAAATACCTCCCTTTAGTACACAAATATGGTGGTATTACTTCATGCACAGAAAATAGGCATGTTTCAAAGTTATTCTGTGGTGGCTCATACCTGTAATCCCAGCACTTTGGTAGGCCAAGGCAGGTGGATTGCTTAAGCCTAGGAGTTCAAGACCAGCCCGGGCAACATGACAAGACCCCGTCTCTACTAAAAATACAAAAAATTAACCAGGTGTGGTGGTGCACACCTGTAGTCCCAGCTACTCAGGAGGCTGAGGTGGGAGGATCACCTGAGTCCGGGAAGTCAAGGCTGCAGTGAGCTGTGATCGTGCCACTGCACTCCAGCCTGGGTGACAGAGTAAGACCGTGTCTCAAACCACCACCACCACCCCACTGCAACAACAAGAAAAACATTTTCTGGGGCAGAAGGTCTTTCCAGTGCTCCTCAAATTGTGACACATAAATGCCTCTTCCTTCTCAGGTTACAGGTAGGCCCCATGAAAGGCACACTTTGAAGGAAAAGTAAACAGATAAATAGACTAACATTATTTCAGGCTATATTATTTCATCAGTAAAATTCTTCAGCTATTTGGCTTTCAGTTAATGTGATAGCCCTTACTTAACTTTATATATCTATATCAGATAACACCTTTTCCCTTTAGTTTCCTTAAAAACTTACTTTTTACATCCATCTCTAGGTGCAAAGAAATGTGTATACAATCGTTCGGGTATTCCATGATTCTACAAGTATGGTTTATAGATTTCCCCTTGCTTGGCTCATCCTCCATGATTGCTGATCTTCCAGTGTGGTTTTTTAGATGACAGGTAGTGTTATATTCCTCCAAGTGGTCAACCAGAGGAGCTACAGTGAAGTTCAAGTGCTGACAAGGTGAATAAAAATCATTTGCTTTCACTTCCATTGATCCTCTCCTGATAAGAACTAGAAAGTGATTAAGAAAACGTTATTTGCAAAATATTAATACATAGCAAGAAAACACATACAATTCAAAACTAAATATCTTCCTTTCTATACAAGAAAGTAGAAACAAGAAGTTAGCTACACTAAAAATATATACATATTTTTGAGACAGGGTCCCACTCCGTCGCCCAGGCTTGAATGCAGTGGTGTAATCACAGCTCACTGCAGCCTCACGCTCCCAGGCTCAAGCAATCCTCCCACCTTAGCCTCCTGAGTAGCTGGGACTACAGGTGTGTGCCACTATGCTCAGCTAATTTTTTAAATTTTTTTGTAGAGATTGGGTCTTGCTATGTTATCCAGGCTGGTCTCCAACTTTTGGACTCAAGGGATCCTCCCTCCTCAGCCTCCCAAAGTGCTGGGATTACAGGCATGAGCCACTGCAGCCAACCTAAAAATAATTAATAAGGTGATTATATTTTTTAA